GATTTGGCATACTTTTCATCGTCATAGCCAACGGCAAAAGAGACTTGCAAAAGGTGCCTGTCTTTGCGAAGACTACCAGACACGGCAAGCTCGTAGCATCCGTCATCGCATTGGACTTGGAACATCGAATTCTGTGGTTAGAGGAGCTGGCGACATCTGCCACGTCCGCAACCAATAATCCTGATTTCGCATCGCCGGCGTCGACGTGCTGTGAGGCTGCTCTGAGAAGCGGAGTCGAGTATTGAAGCTAGGACATGTTGTTGCCTCCCTCTCGGGTACCCCTTTGACATCTTCGGAGTCGTATGTCGTACGAGAGTGATGTAGTGACGGACACCAGTGAACGTTTACCGACATACACCTCAAACACCGTCAAGACGCCATGCCGCCTAGGGACCAGCCAATACCTAGTCCTCGTGTCTCGCGTCTTTGAATCTTCAAATTCCTTGATCGCTGCCTTTACCGGCCCTTGGCTTGTAATGTCATCTCGGGTCCCTCTGCGATATCTTTGGAATCGTATGGCATACAATCTTGACATGGCAGGCAGGGTCACTGACAGTTCGTCATGCCAACTCAGGTCCCTCTGCGTTATCCTCGGAATCGCATGGCATACGAAATTGACGTGGCGGGCTGTGCTACTGATGCAATGACGGCGTACAATGACGACGTACATTTAGAAGGGAAGTATGAACGCATCTTTTTTCCATCGACTCAGTCATCTATACCACGCACGCATCCTCACCTGAAGATCACCACCCAATCTCTTCCTCATCATCAATTTCAATCTCTCCACATGGTGTCTCTGCGCATGGTCGATAGATCGAAAATCGGTTTCACACTTCCGTGGACTCTCACATATCTTCATCACTCCGCCTCTTGTGCACTTTTCTCAGTCTTGTCTCTCCATAATAGTAAGGTTACTAAGAGGCTCATCACGACTCGTGCGGTGAAAAGGTCAGTGACCATAGGGATCTCATAGGCGTTTGGACGCAAACTTGATGTTTGGCAACTTTTGTTGTCGGCATCTTCGTAGGGATCTGTGTCTGGTGCGACCCGTGTATACCCCCAATGTCTGGTCCCCATGACACGTCGGCTATTGAGGTTCCAATGCTGAGGATCGTGCGCGGAGATGGCGTGATGGAGTGTGAGGTTCATACCCTGCTGCGGCAGCAGCTTTGGCGGCGATGTCACACGCGCGATGCGGTTCAATGCCATACTACGGCGATGACATTGCGATGGCGATCCCTTTCCTTTCCCAACCCGTGGTAAGGTCACCAATATCCTCCCCTTCTGTTGCATGTCTCTCATAAAACCGGCGATACTATCGGTCGTCCTCGATGAGGCGCCGACGACTTTCGCAACTAACGACTCCTGGACTCAGCGCTTTCCACATTTTGCCATAATGCCTACTTAGGATCTCATCTTTAACTCTTAGGAGTATAGTCTCCAACATTCAGGGTTGCCTTCGCCCTCGATCTCTTGTAAACGAATGATTGCCCAGTTCCATCTATTATCAAGTTCTGTACCTTGAAATTATAAGACCTGAGATCAGGCATTGAACTCATAGGAGTGTAACTCCGAGCCATCTTTTGGTCGACATGTTCGACCCTTGATCTTCGACTAATACTGGCGATGCCACTATTATCTTCAATTGCAGTACTAACGTCTGTGATCCGGACATGATGATATCATCAGGTACGCTAGGCACCTCCTGTTAATTGTCAACCGATCCAGAAATTCTTAGCATGTACTTCCGATGTACCAAGTAATGCTGAGCTGCTTACTATCATTGAGACTTCGCTCTTGTACCAGTACGTTCCAGCCCTCTCATATGTTGGATATTGACTGACATCCTTGCAGGCTAAAAATACCGAGCCCTTGACATCGTCATTGATGGCAAGTAAGAATCGTTCCCTCCCGTCATGTCATCCATCCCTTTTTCTGGGCCAACTCCTATGGAGGTTCGAGCATTCTTGTTCACTTTTCTTCTCTCTCTTCCGTATTTGCATCTTTCTTTTCATCTCGTCATTCATTCTTCATAAGCCATCTTGGTTCTCTTTTCTTGTGCTCGCCCCTCCACATCTCCCATCCAGGATCATGTCGAAATCATTCCACTCCCCAGTATCGATCATTGTACCGCGGCCGGATTGGTCACAGACGAAAACCAACGGCCCACGACCTACATCTGATTGGATAACCTCGTCTCAACCCACACCAAATTATCCGAATCGGCTCTTTCAGTCCAGATTTTGCCACATCTTGTTGATGACAAGCGGTAAACGCTTTGAAGATTGGCTGTAATATCAGTCAACGAAGACTGTGTTGATAGGGCGACAACATATATTATCACCCTAACGTGACACCGAATACACCTTGCGCACCATATCGGCTTTCAGCTAGGCTCTTTGGTTGGCCTTAATTCTTGCAGCGTCGACTTATGCTTAGCCCCCATTCTCTTCATACTGGCGAGTTGAAACGACATGAGACAGCACTCAGAGCGAAAGCGAAAACGTTGTTAGGTCTCTAATACCCATTTTGTTGGATGTGGTCTTTCGGTGGTAGCGGTAGGAAGGGCGTACCTTGCTTAACGCCCAAACCTATTCCGGATCTCCTGTGTTTTCGGCATGCCAGGATATCGCCGCTCTTTAACCATCAATCGACAGTCCTGATGTTTTCCTCCTCTTTCACAAATACATACTCGGACTAGATTGCGCTGACCTGGGTGGCATTGGACATCGCGCTATAAACATCCTTTTTTCTGACTGTCCTCGATTTTCGTCAACCTATTACCGGCTAAACCATCGCCAGGATCGCCTTTCGGATTCGAATGCCTTGCGTGCGACATGATTCAGCCTCTCTTTGAATTTATGGTCAAGTGCATTGAACCCAGGAGAAAAGGGAAATGATACTTTCCCACGATAATCGTCAGCTCTACTCGAAGCTTCCACATATCATGCAGGTCCAAGGCCCTTGCGTATCATTTGCTTATGGGCGAGAATGAACAATTGGAACCCGAGGCACCAGATGCCATGTATGGCTGCTGCCACCCTTTTTTGGGCACCGCGTCTCGCGCCTGTTTGAGTTCAAGTTCAAGTGGTCGAGTCCTGTTTGGATCAATAAGCAACCCGCCAAAATTCTCATGTGAGGTGATGAGGGATTGCACATCGCCGCGATTTCATGATCGCCAGTTTATACCCAACATCATTGTGTATACCACAGCTCCGCCGTAAAGGCCGCGATGTCGTCCGCATGGTTCTGAACTGCGGATCGTTTACGAAGATGGGGATCATAACGCAAACAGACACGTCACTTTGGTGTTGAAGACTTGCTGCACGACAAGCGCAATTAGCTGCTTCTCTTGCTGTTACTGGGTGCTGCGATGCTCGAACTTTGTGAACGGCTCGCAGATGCTCGTAGTGAATGTCCAAGGGCTGCTTGGTATCTGAAAGCCGCTAGTGATGCAATGCGTAACATGCATTCTGTTGTCACCCAATGAATAGAGCGTTTCATGAAACCTTCGTTATGTGTTGTCCAAAGCTTGAATGCTTTCATCGATCTCAGTGCCTGGAGGTTGGATTTCGCGAGCCGCGGTGTGCACAGTTTGGGTTGAGTGGGATCATGAGCTTGTGATGCAAGACACCACTTCAATGCAGCAGCATGATCTCCATGAGTCAAGAATACGCTGCTCTCTATGCGAACGCTGAAATGCGCATTAGTAGCGATGTCAAGAGAGAATTTCATACCTGAGTATGATGCAAAAGTCGGCGGGGTACCCGATCAGCATCATTGCAAGGGAGCAAAACGCGCGTCTTCAAGGTATTGCTTTCGCCGCTAAACTACCCTGCCCAATTGAGTGCGGCCGATTAAGTGTTAGTCCGGTGGCTACCTTCGCAGTGGTCGGTTCAGAGGGCGAGGGAGGAGTGGGAGTGAGGGGGAAATCGGTGACCACTTTCTTCATCTCCATTCTCAGTTGTTCTGATCCAGTATCTTACGACGCTGACCTCCTTCCCGCTTCTCGTTATTACCAGCACGGTTTGGGTGTAGTCCCGTTCATCGTTGCGATGGTTCGCTCGAAGTATGCGATTGAGAGGTGAGACATTTAGCGACCGCTTTCTCCATCTCCATCATCAGTTGTTCTGATCCAGCATCTTGCGACACTGACCTCCTTCCCACTTCTCGTTATTACCATTACAGTCTTTTTGTAATCCTTTTCATCATGCATTCCAAGTTCGAAGACGAGGTCTCAACTGGCTGATGCCCTCTTGAGAGATTATCCACGCCAACACCCCCGGAGAACTCTGATCCAGCTAAATTGCTGACCTCCCTCCGCGTCATGTATTACCAATCGAAGATTATCGCTAATTGGGGTATTTTCGATTTTCGATTTTCGGGGTGTTTGGTGCGTGGTTGGTGTTGTGGTGCAAGTGCAAGGCAGTGTTTGAAACTCGGAGGGGCTTAAGGTCTAAGTCAAATTTGCGCATGTAACGCACACCAACGCGAGGACAAAAGCCGTGACTAAACCCAATAAGTATCTTGGAACCCCAGGTCTTGTTTAGGAACTTGGGAAATTTGGGGCATGGGGCTGTATTAGTTGCAGTCAGTGCGATGCAAGATGCGTCGTCCGCCCCAGCTCTGCGGAGCGGGCCTTGATGCAAGTATCAATCTGTGCACATTGTTAAGCTAAGAAGCTATCCTCGGCCTGATGGCTATACTCTTCAAATAAAAGTAGCAAAAAGGTAAAAGGCGATCTCCTTACGCCGGGCATTAGATGTCAACTTGGCAGTGGTAGTCGAGGTTATAGCATGGCCCAACAAAGGCTTGACCACAACGCCACCAGGTTTCTGTCAAAGAGATTTCCTGGTGATATAGATACACACAGATTGAGTGCGTGGGAGCAAATTGCAAGGGGCATCCTTTGCATCCGACACGCACAAGCCGGTTGATATTCAACTTGCCTATCAGCCAAACAAAAAAAGATGCCACAACCTTGACAAAAGAGAAATTAGGCTGGCCAAGATTCGAACTTGAGTCTCCATACTCTGTCTACAGTTCAAGACCATGGCGGCGGAAGTGGTACTGTAGCCAGAGCAGGCGCCTTAACCGCTAGACCAACAGCCTTGGTTATCTTTGATGAAAGGACCTGAAATTATGCCAGATGTATTGACCAACAGACTTACTTGGCACGCGAACAGAATTTAGCAAGACCGCAGTCTGCGGTGATAGACTTGCCGCCAACTAGGAAGGAGCACACCGAGGCGCTCGGGACCCTGGTAAATTCCCCTTTAATATGAGATATGTCTGAGAACACTTGATTTCAGTGCATAAACCACTTGCCTAAAAGTCACCACAGCATCACCTCACTCGATACATGCACTGCACTCAATAGTTACATTGTGCAGGAAGCGAAGGCAGATATTGCCGTCTTAGCGTCCCACACCAAGCGGCAGATATCCGAGGCGCAAGTTCCTCGATACGGCGCTTCCTCGAACTCTAAGTTTGTACCTTATTATAGCTATGTGCGCTATTGATTGAATTTTGTGCCAAGATCAATGATTCCTGTTACATTCATTTATTGTAATGCATGTAAATCTGTACCAGGCAAATACCTTCAGTGCGACTGCTAATAAGAGGCAGATATCATACTAAACTTTACTGTGATGTTAACAATCTCCATCCACGAGGAGCATAGTACACCTATCTCCTGATTAGGTATTACGCCTCCAATGTGGTGCCTAGCACCCCTGAATCAATCCCTTTACTATCGTTGCTGAGTGGTAGCGAACCTTACTGTGATGACACAGTCTCAGGAACAGAGCTACTTTCAAAACATGCTAATCCTAGACCCAGACGCACGTTTGCACAGATTGAGAGATTATAATTTTAGAAATCCAGCGAAGAAAGACATTATATTATATTGTTGGAAACTCACAAGACATCTAATATAGATACAAGACAATGGACTTACGACGCATGAGCTCAGAATCATTACAGCTAGTCCAGATTTAAAATTCCCTGTAACCTTCAAATCCAAAACACCCAGTCAAGTATGGTGATGGGCTGTTTTCCTTGATGCTTTTGAACCGATCTTTTTTATAAGATATTCTCAAACCATCTTGCACATACGCTCATCGTAAGACAGGCAGAATGAGTATTGGAATTACAAAAGGGATTCTGCAATCCAATTAAGTAAAAACGATCGACCATCCACTACGAAAATAACAAGACCAAGACTCAGTTGATGCTTTGAGCTTGACAGGGCTGACTCCCGTGGATGAAGTTAACGTTGTTGAATTGAGAAAGGCGACTTTAAGAGATTAAAATCAGTATTATTAGCTTAACCAGGCCAGATTAGTTGCAACCTGATCGCCTAGGGGCAACGGGTTGCTTCGTTGGTTTCACCTACTTCGCTTCCACAGCCACCTCAGCTTTAATCTTCCTTCCAATAACTCATTTGATCCACCTTGTTGTCTTGTTAGGAGGTTTAGATGATGTTGAAGGAGCATCGTTGCCCTCCTCATCTGAGTCCTCAACCTTGACACATGTGTTGTCGCTCGCGCGAATCACTTGAGTAAGCCGGCTGTAAGGCGGATTGAATCTTTTTTGAAACAGCCAGCTCCGAGATGGAAGGTCGCATAATCGAATTGTGTCAGTAAGACATACAGAGTTGCTGCGGCTATTAAAAAAGTCAGGCATGAAGGTAAGAGTAGTCAAAGGTGAGAACTTACATGTGAAGCCGGGCCGAGACGCTAATTAATATTTTAGGGGCACCAGGCAGCATCGAGCGCAGTGGCCCAACGTGTCGTGTATTTTGGGTTCCAAAGATCCTGGAGATTCTTCCTATAAAGATGTAAGAGGTGGGGTTGTAGAAGAGCGTGAGAGGAGAAGCGCTTCATGTGGGAACCGAGGGGGCAGTATCTATACTACTGAAGGAAATAAGGCGCTAGCGTTATACTAGAAATACAATATAGTAGGTGCTATCAAATCGGTGGAAGTCTATATATGCTGTATGGACTTTAAGGAGATATTAAAACTTATTTCAATCTATGAAATGATAGGAAATGGCTTTTAGGTTTTCCTTTGTTATGCAGTTTGCAGTGCATACCTATTTGGAATACAATGCCTACATACATACATATAAGATTGCGACAGTAAGTGTATGAAAAATGGTCAAAGAGAGTATACCAAGCAACGCTTGGAACCTAAAAATATAAAGATCGCTTTCGAATAGTATTGACAAGTCGAATATTTTACATAGAGACGGTAATTCTCAGGAAACTCGATCTTTCTCAACATTACATTCAAAGATCAAGAGTCTTAGTATGCTATCATTAGACAAACAACGGGACACGGAAATATTGCATATCACTTCGATTAGCCCGAAGGGTCATAACGCTCATCGAGATAGATACCTCAACTACCGACAGCACACACCTAAACGATAGCCTCACCACAGCGAGAGCTTAAGAATAGGGCCAGTGGCGAGCCTGTGGCGTCTGACTAGGCTTGCAATGATCATACCTAACGTCATGCCAGGGACAGTGAGCTGCGACCAAGTAGGATTGCCCTCTGCATCCATATGTACCCTTGTGACCTCATCAAAATTCTTTTGCCCAAATGAGAGTAGGTTGTGAAGGTGATGTGCCTTCGGGAAATGAACAAGGGCTTGGTTGTAGTTAAGCCAGTCCTCGTCTGTCATCGGGATCGAAATCGAGTATACGACGCTGGGAAGGATCTCGTCTTGCGAGGAGACTTGATTCAAATGCTCATGCATCTTACTGTCAAGCCAATCTCCAAATTCTTTCATTATAGGTACACTATCGCGCTTCTCGGCGCACTCGAGGCGGACCAAGCGGAAAGGTCCGAGGAAGAGAAAACGGGCCACTGCCTATTCGATGTCAGCAAGTTCATACGCGTTGATACGCTTCAAAGGTACGTACACCTTCGGGTGCTTGATGTATCATTACTTTTCCCATAGTATCTACGGGAGCTTTGACCTTGCCATCAACTCCTAATGGGGATTGCCCAGAGGTGATAGCATGGCGAGGTAGATTAACAGTACAGTCATAGTCGTCACTGACCTCTGAACGCTTGTTTTCGATGACCTTGAAGGTTTCGGAGGTAATATTAATCTTGTTCTCTCGGTCCTCAACATTATTAGAGGAAGACATGGGCCTATCTCGAGCTTGCCTATCCACCCGCTCGTTTGGACAACTACTGTAATTTCTCGTATCGCCATAATTTGGACCGGCATCCAGGCCCTGGAAAATATCTCGTCGAGGTTCTATATGGCCGAAATGCGCGAAATCGGCGATAGGCGGATATGTTGCTGGAAGAAGTGGCACCCCACCACCATTACTAGACACGGAACATGGTGCTAAAGAAAGGCGAGCTTTGGATGGAGCGAGATTCCGTGCGTTCGCAAGGCGGTCACCAATGTTGATAGGTGCGCGGCGAGCGTGGAGGCAGTTGTCGGGATGAAGTGATCTACCAGAGGACGAGGGCGAGGAATGATGATCTAGAGTGTTTGAGGTGGTAGGTGGGAACGACATCTTAGAGGTGTATGCCTAAGCTCGAAGTCTTATTATATGCGCAGCGGAAACTAGTGGACAACTTAGCAACACCTCATTCGCTCCGAATCAGCGCTAGTAGAGGGTATAATTCTAGTACTTCAAGTGAGACCTAAATTTAACGGGAAGCTACGCGAAATAGAAGGGTAGTAGATAACAGAGTATAATACTCACCAATTTTGAAGCCCGGTGGTTGCTTGACAGTACAAGAAAAATAAGATCGATACTCAAATTGATATTTGCACACCTAGGCAAACAAAGCTAAAGATTGAGTATTTTGGCAAAAATCAAACGAAGTTAATGTAGAGCGCAAGATGAGCTTCCTTACTTCTTGTGGATTTTCACCCTTTCAAGAGTACGCTGGGCGTTTTTGCTACTAGCAGTGAAAGATTGAATCGAATGAGGGCGCGTGATAGCCTATCAAATCGAGTCACTTGAGAGAGGTCTCCAAAACTTACCTTTCAAAATCATCTTTCATCGGTTCCCATTCACCGTCAGTAGAAGGCAAACGGGCTTCTCCCCAACAGTATAAAGTCTACTCCCCACTCCCTGTCTTCCACTTCGCAACTACCACAACTACCTCAGAACAATCAAAACCTTCCACACAAATTTCCCCTACAATACCACAATGTCGAATACCAACGACCTCGCCGTCCTCCCCGTCTTCCTCCCATTTCTGCGCGTGCGATCACGCCGCCACCTCATCGTCCTGCGCCGCGCCACAACTCACATGGCTGAGCTGGTAGAGTATGTTGCCGAGAAGGCAGCACTGTTCCCTGTGGGCACTCGCCCAGACCTAGATGAAGGCCATGCGGAATTCATCCGCAAAAAGGTCTTCCTGATCAACGCGGCGGTTTGGGAGCTCCGCAACCGCACCACCAGCCGTCAGAAGGTGGAGATTGAGGAGGCTCTGACACGGTTGGAGGATACCTTGCGTCGCCTCCTGGAACACGCTACGAGAAGGTGAATTCGTCCAGTGAGTAGTCCCTGATCGTACACTAAATGATCTTCATTAACACGTCACTTGCAGCCACAACGAATTGATGCCCTGGCTACGCTCAGTAACCATGTTTGTGTGGGTATGGGTGCTTGGAACCACCTCCTCGCTGGGAGGGAGTTCGATACCACTAAGCCTGGGTGGTTGGTTAGGTAGATTCAATTATCATCCGGGGAGGGCCTCTAGGGCGCTAACGTCTGGGTGGATTGCAACGAGAAATACTGTGTTGCTCTTCTCCTTGCCGAAGTAATTTTGGGGCCACTAGCACTAGATTTTATACTTCAAATTGATACCAAACTTACGATCGCTCTCCATTCATGACCAAATATCTGAGTGACCGAATGTTCCTACCCTTTTGGTCTAATCATGATATTGTAGAGTTGCTATCTAATTCAGTTATTCAGGTCCAGTATCCAAACTTTATTCATTTAGTTCAAGTTATATGGTGCCACTATTACAAAATCACCACAGTACCAGCCGCAAAGCAAATTTACAGTAGCTGCTCTTGAGCAGAGGGCAATAACTCACCCCAGCAAGTCTTCTTGAGGAGGCTA